CTTGGTCTCTTACCCTTAGCAATCCTATGTTTGCCTCTACCAGTTGGAGCATTGTAAGGCTTCCCATGATTCTGTTGTTGCTTGCTTCTCTTCTCAGTGACAATCTTGTAGTGAGCATTATTGTCCTCTTTATAGATTCTGCAGCTATTCACCAAGTCTGGAAACTTGCGAATCTGATGATACCCAATGGCCTTCTTGATTTTAGAATGCAAGCCATTCTCAAACTTGACACACTTAGAAAATCTAGATATTTCCTTCGTGTAGTGAGGATAGTAGTTCTCTAATTCCACAAACTTAGCAGAATATTCAGTCACTGATAAGTTTCCCTGCTTCAGTTCCAAGTACTCAATCTCCTTCTTCCCTCGGACATCTTCAGGGTAGTACTTCCTCGGTAATTCCCTGCGAAACACAACCCAAGTAATAGCCTCACCTACACCTTCCAATCTCTGACGAGTTGCAACCCACCAGTCATCAGCCTCTCTTTCCAACATATGAGTTCCAAAACACACCTTCTGAGCATCAAAATAATCCATAAACCGGAAGATCCTTTCAATTCCCTTTGATCTACTCTTGTGCTCCTTCACGATCATGCTTCCCTTTGAACGTAGGTGGATAGTTTCTCTTGAAAGTTTCCAAAGAACGAGTTCCATCGTTCCCACCAGCATTAGGCTGATTCTGCATTGCTAGGGCCAAAGCCTGCAATGCATTAGAAAGTACACCATTTCCTCTTCCAACCATTACTCTGCTTCATGTCACAACATCAAACAATGGTAAGATAGAAAAATATCGGCAGTATTCCACTAACACATTACACTAACAACTCAACAACCTGGCTGGACGGACCTACCTGCTCTGATACCAAATTGTAACACCCTATTTTTCCCATCGAATAATTACTATAAAATCAAAGTAATTTAAAAATTCCAAACAACATCAAAATAGGATGTCACATTTCATTATCTCAAAAATTACTCAACATTTAGTAAATAGATACATAACACATAAAACTTGGATGAACCGATGACATATCATCATTCCACTTCACTTTATTCATTCAACGAAAACAAATTCAATTATAGTTTAATAATCAATTCCAATAAAACATAGGCAACATCCCCTCACATGAAAGAGAAATTATAAAGTTCTCATAATATTCCAAAATTAGCAACTATCAAATAAGAACACAAGCGTTCATCCTCGGTGTTACGTATCAGAGCAAGACCTGACTCGATCTACGCACTACGAGGTGCATCTCCATACCTCAAGCAACTCTAATCTTTGTCACCTGCGTGTTACCCACGTGGAGGAAACATTCAAACAATAAGAGGTGAGATATTATAACAATGTAAACAGGTATATGATAATGAGTAGATAAAGTTTAACATCCATAATCATAAATTCATACTCTATGTATCAACATCAACACACGATATGGTTTCAACAATCACATCCAACAAGCATTAGATAACGTCTTACTCAACAACAACATAATAATGCAATGATAGTGACTTCACCAACTGTATGCATGTGGTACTATAACAACGTCTCTATGACATTTGGGCTACACCATCACTTGCCATTAAGGCTACAACGTCACTTACCATTACATCCACATCTTCACTTATGAACATGCATGCAACACTAACATGTTATGACAACAAATGGAATGAAAAAACACACATCAATAAAACAAGCCAACACAGCTTGCTAATCACACATCATTGTTCATACATAGTCGCAACTTTGCTACATCATGAATCTCTTCATATTCATTGTAATATTCACAACTTCTCAATTACAACAAAACATCATAATAAAACAAAATCCATAAAAATCATCTCCTTTTGGGTTCAAATCAGTTTTATTAAATAAAAAATATTTTTAGCTTTTCATAGGTTCGAACGGCGCGTCAAACGGACACCCGAGTAAAAAGTTATGAGTTTTTGAAGATTTTCAGAAAATTTATCTTTCTGTCTCAGTGGTAACTGGTTACCCTCTAGTGGTAACCGGTTACTGCAAAACAATAACTTTTGGATTTTTGAAACTTCTCGCAGTAACCGGTTGCCCACTAATGGTAACCGGTTACTGCTATTTTCATAAAACACCCATTCTTCCAAAGCTTTGGGTACCCAATTACCCACTTATGATAACTGGTTATCCTTTACAAATTTTCTTTCCATAATCAATTTTTCCACGCAGTTACCAGTTTCCCTCCTGGTGGTAACCCGTTACTCTGCGCTATTTTTCAAAAATTTTGCAGTATAACAAGTTGCGATTCCTCTTCTCAAAACACCAAATTTCAACACCAAATAGAGGCAATTATTCTACCAAACATGCACAATCCATATTCATCGTTTAAGATCAATTTACATCATGAAAATCAAAGTTTTCACATCAAATCATCACCATCAATCATCACAAATACAATTCACACCAAACACACAATCCACATAAAGATGAAAATACAATTACAATACCTAACTATATCAATATCCACCATCATACCAACCCTTATAGAGTTAGAACCCCACCCTTACCTTAGATTTTGAGTTCTCTTCCCTTCTTCAATTGAGTCTTCTCTTTAGCCATAGCTTCTCACTTCTACGATCAATTGGGAATAATGATTTATATTCCTTGTGTTCTCACTTCTTATTTTATTTAATAACACAAATTAGACCCCTAAATCAATAACCACATACTGCCCTTCCTAATTTTAATTATTTAATTAATCACTAATATTATAAATAACTATTATCTATAACAATAGTAATAATAATAATAATAATAATAAAACCAATATCACTCATATTCTCTATTCACCCTATGTTCTCTACGCTTTTAGTCATACACCCCTCACACCTCAACTTCTAATTTCTCAAATTGCAACACATCACATTGTAAAATACATAATCACAGTCAACACATCATATCATCTAATTATTTTTAAATAAAAATAGTCTTAATTAAATTGGGGTGTTACAGTCTAATCATCGTCGATTAGGCTGATTTTGTTAAAATATTGTTTTCATCATAACTTGAGTTTCGTGACTCCGTTTAAGACGCGGTTTGGAGTGTTAGAAAGCTAACGTGTATTACTATCTCACGGTGAGGTATTAAGCGGCTGAATGTGCAGTTAAGGGCATGATTTAATTATTTTCATGAAGCTGTAATATTATGTGAAGCTTAATGATGATGAAAGAACTTTAATTGTTGTGATCGACTTGATTGGTGAATTTGGATGTTAATTGATAATTGATTATGAATTAATTGGTTATTATATGATCAATTGGTGATTTATATGTGTATGTGAATTACTTAATATGAACGGTGATGTATGATCGAATGTGTGCATATCATACTTGTTGTGTTGAGGTGGCCTAATTGATGTTATACACGATCAGAAGAGGGGTCAATTATGCATATTCTTATCTACATGGTATTTGTGAAGTCATTCATCATGATTTACGGGCTTTGGTTTCAATGTTGGTGTGCTCTGGTCCAGAGGGGTAGATCGGGAGCGAGTAGTTGATTTAAGTAGATTTGGTGTACACCAGTTCTGAAGAGGGAATCGAGAGCGAGTGTGGACTCGTGTTTTCCATAACAGTACCACATGTATTTAGAGTCGAGGTGTTGAGTACATTTGCATACATTAAATCACATGATATTTTATCATTAATCTAAAAAATAACAACATTAAATATTTTACCTAACACAACAACAACTAACATTGCTAACGTAAATCCATCTCTCGTTGCCTCGTTCAAGTTAGAGAAAATATGATGGAGTTGTGAAACTTGTCAATAGATGAAATTGTGTTTTTCTAGTTTCGTTTATGGCAAAAATGATGTTCTCGAGTTTGGTTTAGTGGAGAATAGAGTTTTGTAAATGGAAAATGAAGTTTGGAGGCAGAAGACGAAATTCGTCTAAGTTTGTCTAGGAAAAAATGGAATGAACATGAAGCATATATATCTTGAAATTTTAATTTATTTCTCAAATAACAATTAAAAAAAATAGGAAAATGACACTTTTTCCACTGTGAGATTGTCCAACATGGTGAAAAGTGACTTAAAAATAAATAAAAAGTAAAAATTGTTGGCAGTGGGATTTTAACTAATAACCAGACTCCACTTTTCACTAACCGTGGTAAAAAAGTGGCTCAAAATAAATAAAAAATAAAAAATATTGGTACTTGAATTGAAATCATGACTAGATGCCGCTATTCACCACAATTGAAATTTCAATCATGATAAAAAGAGATATAAATAAAAATGAAAGGAATACACCTAATTGAAGAGATTCTTTTACGGTGGATAATTTGGACAAGATAATAATTTGTTACGAAAGGAGTATATTTTGTAGTGGTGTTGGTATCCGACAATTTTGTTTTTTGTGAGTGGTTTTTTTTTCCAAGTTATTTCACTTTTTTGATGGAGCATGTTAGTGAGGAACTACGATTTTTGGTGAAGATATTGTTAAAAAAAATTAAATTGTGTAGTTTCAAGAGATTATAATCTTTATGGTTGAGTGAGACAATTCTTTTTGAACTATGATTATTTGTGAATACAATGAAAACATGTATTTTATTTTCAACTAAGGTGAATATTGCTATTGTTTGAAGAAGTTTATGATTCTTTATTTTTTAAAATAAGTGGGAGTCGAAGGGTATATATTGAGTTCAAATTCTTCATCACAAAATGCATTATTTAGTGCTATTTTCTGAGTATTAGTTGACAATAACAATGTTTATTCTATTGTTTTAGAATATTCACATTATATTCTTCTGTTGTAATTGTCTTTTTATATTATTTATGCTTGTTTTTTCCAAGGAAAAAAAAAAACAAAACCATGAGTAAACTCACGTACAATCAAAGGATATATAAAGATAATGGGGGAGAAAAGGTAATTGACGCTTATTCCCAACAACAAACACTAGACACATAAGACTAATCCATACTTTAACTTATTCTTGATCAATTAAAATGAAATAAATAATTGAACTCCTAGTGTTTGATTGGGTAGGAACCCCATCCATTGAAGCCACACACTCCATATTTTCTACCGTTATTTCTTTTGATAAACATATAACCTTCCATTCCCCAATGAGCGCCCATTGAGTTCTTCACAAGCCAATAATCTTGCTTCGATTCAGTATTGTAACCAACTATTAACATGCAGTGATTTGCTAGTTTAGGATCCTCTGGGCATTTGAGACCCTCATATATTCCCTATATCAATGGATATATACGAAAAATGTTAAAAGCGAAAATAAGCATAGAAAAACTGTGAAATTGAATTGTTTCAAAAATTAGAGAGTGTCTAATAATTAAAACATAGAATGTTTTTTGAAAAAAAAAATGCATTGAACGTGTAAAATATTTTTACACAGTCAACTATTCAGAGACGTATATCCAATTAAGTAACACTTTTAATTTTAAAATATTAATATGATATAATTGAATATTGTAATTTTATTGAGTGATGGTGTAAAACTAATTCATATTTACAATACACTTACAACACCAATGAGTAATAACGGTTAAATTTTAAATTAGATTTAATTTTTATTTTAATTACTAATTGTTCTGAACTGAGTCTGCCTTTGGCCCAAATCACAAGTAAGGACCAGATCTAAGTCGTGCCTCAAGTTAGGCTGGGAACCAGACTCCCCGAGCATACCCAGTCACGGGCCGTTACGACTATGCCCGCCGCTGCCTGCAACGAGAAGCGTCCCCGACACGGACATCCCAACTCAAATCCTGCTCGAGAATCCTCTCCGTAGGACAGACTCAGTTCTTCCGGATGCTTCAGAGTCTTTAGAGCTCCGGGAAGATCGCGTCTCCGTTTTTTCTTGTTCTTCGCGGAACATCATCCAGGAAGGGGACCACATGCAGGTCTCCACTACGCACGTAGAACCTGACAGTCCCTTTGTTGGACCAATTTTGGTCAGTCCAATAAAAGGACCTTGACCCAGCGCTCCAATAAAAGGACCTTGACCCAGCGCTGGGGCTATAAATACCCTCTGTTCCAAGAGGGTCAGAGATTCATTCTCTAAGACACCCATATACAATTTGCCTACTCATTCCGTCGTTTATTTTATCATCGGAGTGCCTTGCAGATATTCCCATCTCTCAGATCCAATTCGAGCCGGTGGTTCAATTCTGATCCGATAAGATCACTAATAAAATAATATTTATGAGTGGTTATGATCTGTATTATAGTATAAAACTTTTAATATTGACAGTGGATGACTATTAATGAGTTTGATATAAACTAAAATTCTAGTAATAATGAATAAGACATACCCCTGTATAATGTTGAAAATCTTCGGGTATAGCATAAAGACACGAACTAATTGGCTGCAGAGCAGTTTGAATTAATAGTGCTTTCTCAGTTGCGTCCAAGCCCATATATGAAGAAATAGTTGCACGAGGTTTAGTCTAGAATTCATGAAGAAAGGAGTTGGTTTTAGTTTTAGAATGGATGGAAAAAGAAGTTCAATAAAAGTAATAATAATAATAATAAAAAGAGACCATTGTTGATCTGCAGCTGGGACCCTTCCGTGCTGTAAAAGGATAACTATCTTCATCTGTAATCCCATCGTTATTTATAACCCAATCGTATGCAGTCTGCACATAACCGCCCTCGCAACCACGACTTCCCGGATCACAATCCACAAGCTCTTGAACAGAAAGTTTTATAAGGTTCCCCGTCTTTATTTTACTTATTCCTTCAATGGCTCCTGCAGCTGAGATTGCCCAGCAACAATCTAATAAAAAAGTACCAGTTTGTTAAAATCGATTAAATAGACCGTGACTAAAAACAAATAAATTATAAAAACATAACAAACTCACTACAATTTTTTTGATCCATAGGATCAGTTACAGCTCCTAGTGTTACCCAATCCACGGATGCAGGCAGAGTAAAATTTTGTAACTCAACATCATCCTGCAGCTTCATCGTGTTATCGGATAAGTCAAGTTCGTGTAAGTAACTTTCCTGGAACTCCTTGGAACTCAAATCAGCAAAGTTTGTGAGACCAAGAAGTATGTCATGGGATGACTTTCTTTTTCTATTAGCGTTTGTGATAATTCTTAAATTAGAAAGGAAAATGCCTAATCTTTTGGACATCTCTGTGACGTCATTGTAGACACGTCCATTTTCTTTCTTCCATAGTTGGAATAGTTCTATAGCTTCATCTTGAGTAGGTAGCTTATCATTGTTAGGACCCAATATAGAGGAGTACTTGTTTGGAATGACATCATCACATGAAGAGAGACATAAGAATGTTGTGGAGATGATGAAGAGGAGAAATAGGTTTATGGTGTGAGAAATCATAGGTAATCAAAACTAATAACTGATTTAGTTGTTAAGCTTTGTATGGAAAGATGTGTATTTCTTGAAAATCGTTTCAAGATATAAATAGTGAGTGAATTAAAGGTGTGAACAAGATATATTTTATTTATTTATGTATTTTTTTTCCTTGTACATAGATTTATTTAATTTTTATTGCCTAGTCTTGTTTTATGTTATTTCATATGAGTTGACGTTTTTATTCAATTTATTTGTTTTCTGCAATCTTATTTTATTTTTTATAGAAGGTGTGTTCTTATTTTTTTATAGAATGGATATCTACTATATATATTTAAATAGAACTCCAACAACCTTTCACTTCTATCAAATTTAGTAATTCTTTTTTTTATTATAAAGAGGACGGAAGTCTAAGAAAAGCGAAAAACTACTCACACATCATACGGAGGATAAGATCCTTAAATAGGTCATTGTCTAACAAATATTGATTGAAAATAGGACAAACAACAAAATTACAAAAGAACTCCTGAAAATAATACTATGTTTGGCTAGTGCATCCGCATACCGATTAGCTTTCCCATATATGTGTTTGACATTCACTTTTGTTCCTTGGTTAATAAACTTCTTGATTTTTGCAACCAAGTTCCGACTCTTATTATTAATCATATCTAATTTATAGATATCATTAATAATTTGTTGAGAATCAATCTCAATAATAATATGATGAAAACTTATCTTATAGGGACAAAGACCTTCAAACACACCCGACAATTTCTCCAGATATGCACTGCAGATACAAAGAGGTTTTGAAAATCCTCCAAGCCATTCTATTGCATCCCCTCTAATGATGCCACTACACCCAACCATACCCGACCCTTCTCGAGCTCTGTCACCATTAATCTTGACCCATCCTGAAGGAAGGGGCTCCCATTTAATATTTCGAGTCACCTTTTGATGAAGGGAAACTAGTTTATAAGCATCTCTAGCCTCTTGATAATGTCGAACGCATTCACTAACGTGAGAGTTCATGCATCCTGGTCGTTGGTAGTTCTCATCATGCACCTCTAAATTGTGCCATTTCCAAAGCTAATAGCAAGCAGTAGCCCAAAATACATTCCACTTTTCCTTGTCATTCCACTTTTTATTACCTTGCATGTTCTTACGGATCTAAGTATTAAGGTCACCTGTAAAAAAAAACTCACATGATTGTTAGTTGAAATCACGGCCAACCACATCGTCAAAGCTTTAGGACAATCTCGAAGAACACAAATCACATCCTCCTCAACATCTCCACAATGTTTGCACATTCCACTGTCCAAATCCGTCCTATTTTTCATTCTATTTGTCAACAAACCATCATGTTGCATTAACCAAACAAAGTATCGAACCTGTTCATGAACATCCAATTTCCAAATTTCCTTCCACACCTCACTTTGAACAACTTTATCTTTCACATCCAATAGCCGATACATGCTTGCTACTGAGTAGTCTTCACCATCTCCAATACAAGCCCATCGGTCTGGCCCTATATCATTTGATGGAGGGAGAATATTGTGCATTTTACATAAAATTTCACTTGGTAGCCATGCTTTAAGAAGGTTTCAGTTCCAGTTTCCTTGTTGATCACAATTCTACTATAGTATCCCTTTGAAGATAATCAAGCGCATTTATCTATAAGTCCATAAGGCAAGTCGATTGATGAATCCATCTACCTTTCCACGCATGAATTGAACGTCCATCACCAATAGCCCAGGTACAATTTTGTTCAATGAGGGGCCAGTTCCGAACCATTATTTTCTAGAAGCTCGAATTTGTCGCCTTTGCACAAACATTCCTTCTATTCATGTTTCTATCTTACTTCCCCCATATCAATTCACACCACAAGCCCCCTTATTATTCTACAGATTCCAGCAAAGCTTCAAAATGCAAGTTGTATTCATCATGTCCAGCTTACGTAACCCCAATCAACCTTCTTCTTTCGAACAGACATTCTAACAGACACACACTCGATGAATTGCAACATTATCCGCTCAAACAAACATTAAATACAAAGGGAAACGAAATTACATCAACTTAACAATTCATAGGGACGCGATTAGAAGCATGGCGTTACTTGTGACGATGAGGTTTTCGTCGGAGATTGTTGAGGTACAATTTGATATCAAACCTTACTTTCTTCTGCTTGTTGCTATTTCTTCTGCATCTTGTGTTATTTAAATATTCTTCTATAGTTCTCTATGTTTGAATTTCTTCGTCTCTTCATTTTTGTGCGCTTCTGTCGCATTATTGTGTTATTGTGGTTGTTACGGATCGATATTGTTTGGAAAGAGTATGTGTTACTTGTTGAGGGTGCGGGTTTTATGAACAAATAACATTGTGTTGGTTATGGTTGAAGGATGAGAAAGGTGTTGTACTGACGATGATGATGTTGCTAGAAAGGTTATTGGAGCATGGTTGGGAAACTGATGAGGGTAGGTTGTATTGGTCTATTTGTGCAAAAGTGAGGTTAAATATGTGTTTTGTGAGCAGAGATATGAAGAAAGTTGCAGGTTGAAGGAGAAGGTTAGTAGCAATAGGTTTTTGTGACTGTATTTATTGGTGTGAGCAGAATGAAGTTCAAATGGTTTTTTGAGGTGTGTTTGCAGAAGGTTGTATGTGAGTTGATGGTTTATGTAGAAAGGTTTTGGAGGACTTAGGTTATATTAACAGATGATGGAATTTTTATGAGATTGTTGGTATTTTTCTTCTTGTAGTTGGTGTCAATTATAGAAACAGAGGGTGGTTTATATAGAGGAATTAAGGGGAGTTTTGGGGGGAAAGTTTGATGAGTTTTGATCTGTTTTGGCATATTGTTTCTTGCTTTCTTGATGTAGTTTTGTTTTTGCTATTTTAATATAACATTTGGACTAGTGTTTACAGGTTTTTTTTGGACTGATATGTTTGGTATTCAGCAGGTTTTGGACATCAATATGCACAGGTTATGCAGGGCTGTATTTTGGAGGTTTATGGCAGCAGTAGCAGCTGGTTTTAGCAGGATGTCAGGGTATTTTTTGACATGTTTGGTGTAGAAGCAACAAGGCGGATATCATGGTTTGTGTTTGGATTTTGGACTGTTTTACTTTGACAACAGGGCCATGTTTTGGTGTGAGTTTTATGCAAGGCTTTTGAGATTTTTCTGGTAATATCTTTCTGATTTTGGCCTTTCTTGTTTTCTCTGAAACTTATGTGGCTTTTATCTTCTTCTTCTTCTTTATAATTTCGATAAATTTCTGAAGGGTTTTTGTGGTATTGAGGAAGATGATGAATATATATAGGGTTTGAGTTGTTGTATTTGGTGATTACTGACCTTGTGTGAACTCTTCATTCGGGATTTTGCAATCTGATGTTTGTTTGATATGTTCTGAGATGTGAACTTTATTGTTGGGCCGGACAATTGCAATTTCAGTACTTGCTACTTCTGTGATGCTTTTTTGTTTTTTCATTGAGGTATATGCAGTAACTTGTCTCTTTTTTTAAGTTTGTCTAATTGTGAACAAAACCTGTTTTTTTGATTTGCAATAAGAATACTCTTGTGCCAATGATTTTACTCTAGAACTTGATTTTTTTTGCAAGATAATGAGGCTTTTGTTGGGATTTGACATATGATTGAATTCAAACTCCCTATGTTCTGATTCCTTCATAAAATCCCTAATGATGAATTGTGAAATACTTGCTTGGAAGCTTCCCTGTTCATGATTCATTGATTGAACTTGTACTAACCATTTCCTTGTTTGTTTTCATGTGATGTTGATGGATGAGCTTGCAAGAGCATAGAGGAAGACTTGAAGAAGTTATGGTGAAGTGTGAGAACAAGAAGATTGAAGATGCAACAAGAAGATTGAAGAAGAATTCTCTTTTATTTTTATCTTTAGAATAAATAATAAACTTGTAGCTTGTGTTTCAAATTTGTAACTGGACTTTGTAAGACTTGAAGACTTAGAACTTTAGGCTATGAAACTTGCATTCTTATTGTAAATTGAAAAAAGTAATCTTGAGAATTTTAGGCCATGGTCATTGGGGAAATTCTTGTAAATTAGTGAAGTACTTGGCCTTTAGAACATCAATTCCACTTTGTAAGTTGAAACCTATTGAATGTTAAATAGGTAATCATGATGTTGAAAGAAAATTCAAAAGTTCTATCTTGTTTGGAAAAATAACGACGTGATGACTTGAAAAAAATGAGAAACTTGGGAATTCTTACATTTTCCATGACAAAACTTGGAATCTAGGCCTTAGAGACTTGTATCATACTTGTATCTTGAAAACAAATCTTGGAACAACAACTTGCCAAATTATGAAATTAATTTCTATCGGAAGCTTCTTGAGTGGAGATTGAATGAAAATCAAAGTTTGAATCATCGTGATGCCTTATAATTCTTTAAAGATTCAATGATGAAAACAAACTTGAAAATAAAAATAAATAACACCAATTTATCTCTAAATAGAACTTTTGAAAGAGAATGAATATCAAGACTTGAAAACTTGAACTCTTACATGCCCAAAAATGATGCACTCTAAAATCCCAAAGATCTTCAACAACTCCTGCATAATAGACTTCAATATTCATCTTTAAAAAGATGACCCAACAAGTAATCCAAAAATCACTTGATCATAGAAACCCAATCTTGATGAAAATGAAGCTCACAACTTGAAAGGAGTCAAAACCCTAATTTCTGACTGAACAACTTAGGAGATGGTAACCGAGGAGAAAACTTTGATTTCCCATAGATTCCTGATGGATAATCTTGAGCCAGAAGAAACCTTAAAACCTTGCTCCCATGAATGTAGCAATGAATATGTCATAATGGTAAGTATGCAAATGCAATGCAATATGCCAGATGAAAATATAAGGGTAGGACAAATTTGGGGTATGACACCTATTAAAGATACTCCTAAATATTTCCCCAAATTAGATGTTTCTACAAATTCGGACATATTTACGAGGGTGTTCCGCTTCTGCCTACAAACATTCTTCAAAAAGTAAACTCACATTTTTCCTAACTAACTTGCTGCCAGACATACTACAAAACTGTTCCAGAATATTCGTCACACAGGCCATTTGATTTCCAGTTTTTTCCCCGAAAAGCAACAAGTTGTCAACAAACATAAGATGCCATACAACAGGTCCAAATTTACCAGCTTATATAGCTTTTTACTTCCCTTCATCCACAACTTAGGAGATCAAATGAGAAAGCTTATCTACACAGAGAACAAACAAATACAGAGAGATTGGGTCGCCTTGACGAATCCCTCTACAGGGTAGAAAATAGTTAGAAGGAGTACCATTCCATTTGATGTTTGTTTCGACACTTGAAAATCCATGCAAAATAATATCAATCATTCTTCTTGGCAATTGGATTTCTTCGAGAACCCTCCAAGTAAAGTTCCAACTTAATTTATCATAAGCCTTTGATAAATCAACCTTAATCACGAAATAACCGTTCTTGCCTTTTTTGTTTCACATACTATGTGTGGTTTCCTGAGCAACAATAATGTTTTCATGTATACTACGACCTGGAACAAACCCTAATTGGTACGGAGAAACAAGCTTCGATATACTGTGTTTTAGCCTCTCTACCATAACTTTGCAAACAGTCTTGTATATTACATTACACATGGATATTGGCCTGAAGTCATTAACAAGCTCATGTTGTCGGGTCTTAGGTATAAGACAAATATCAATTTGATTTACCTTAACCATGTTACTAGGAGACTCCCTAGCTTCCTTTATGAATCTACAAACACTACTCCCTACAGTTTGCCATGATTTTTGGAAGAATTCGGCCGAAAATCCATCTGGCCCTGGTGCTTTCCTGGGACTAATGTAGAAGGTAGCACTCTTAACCTCTGCATCACTAATATCTCCAACTAGATTTTTCAAAGTATCATGTTCTAGTCTTGGAAAATTATATTTTGTTTGCACCCAATTTTGGCTAGTATCCTTGTATGCAAATAACTTCTTATAGTGCTCCAAAAAAGCCTACTGAACTTGGTTTTCCTCCTCTATCCAGCTTCCATTTTCATCTTTGATCACAATAATATTATTCTTACATCGACATTGGATGGTTTTTAAATGATAGTACTTTGTGTTACGATCTCCATCAACCAACCATTTAGCACGGGATCTCTAGAACCACATCAATTCCTCTTGCCTGAGTAACTCATTCAACTCTTGTTGAAGCTTCATTTCTACATTACTCAACATCACATTCCTTACATTCTTTTGGATCTTATTCTGAATACCTGCAATTCGATTCATAAGCTTTCTCTTCTGGTACTTAATTTGATTTAAGGATTTGAACTTCCATTGTGTTACTCCTTCTTGAAATTTGATTAGATTCACCCCAATTTCAGCATTTCTGTCCCAACTAGATTCTAGAAGTTTATTATAGTCTTTCTCCGCCAGCCAAGCATTTTCAAACTGAAAACATGGTTTGTTACTTCTCTTAAAATTGCCATTCATTCGAATAACCAACAGATGATAATAGGACGCCGCCACGTGAACTTTGGACCCATAGCT